AACACAATACTGAGGGTAAAAAAAAAAAAAACTCTGTGCTTTGTGTTATGGTGCTCTGGCATTAAATAAAAAATAAATCTTCTCAGCAGCACTGTTTCTGTTAAATAATGAAGTGATTCCTGAAGAAAAACAAGAAAATTTAAATCAGTAATATTAAGTCCTACCTATTTCCTGTTGCTGACAAAATGTATCTAAATCAGTGAAATATGCCAATTAATATTTACTTATTTATTGATTGTGTGGATTTCCAGCAGTAAAACCCACTCACCTGTACTTTCATTAACATGAAAGAGACTGGAAGCTCCAGACTGGCTGCTGCTGGCGTCTCCACTCCTGTCACCTCCGCTCAGCCATTACATTTGTCACCTTTCCTGCAGCCCCACAAATCAACTCTCCTGGTCTGTGGACAGCCTCAAGTGTCTGAGAAAGCAGTAAACATCATGGGATTAACATCAGTTTAATGATGACACAGCAGAACAGCGCTTTCACCCCTATTGTCCATTTTTATTTGGAACTTTCTAAATCTGTTGCAAACTGTAGCTCAGGTGAAATTCAGACAAGTACCTGAAAACGGACTAAACAAGTGCCACTTAATTCCTTCAGGGTCTGGTTTGAACAGTTTCGATGGGACTGGGGCAGACGACCCCCCCCCCCCAACACACACACAACGGATTCAAAACCCATTGTCTAATGCAGAGGTGCTCAAAGTGGGGCCCGCCGGCCAAAATTGGCCCGCCGAGCCATTTGATTAGGCCCACCAGCAGTTGTCCTGGTTACTAGACTGTTATTATGTTTAGATTAAATATAAAATACAAGTAACTACAAGAGGCATTTAGATTAGATTTAAGCCCTTATATAGATCTGCACACCTTATAAGACCACATATACTCAAATTTTAAATTATGAAAAGTCACATGAGTCTTTGCTGCCCGAGGATATGTTGAATTTTCTCCATCACGTCCATGGGATTAAAAAAACTAAAGAATGTGGGCAACCACACTGGCTGCTAGCTTAATCATAAAAAAATAAAACAACTTTACTGAAGTATTAAGCATTTCTTGTATTATTGCATTTGACCCACGGCCTTCAGACTGATTTTAATTTTGGCCCTCTCAGGGAAAGTGTTTGGGCACCCCTGGTCTAATGGTTTAATCTAACCCATTAAACCAGTGAAAGGAGCTCGGATTTAAACTGTGCAGCAGATGAGCTCTTGGTTTTGGCTGAAGATGATGAGTGAAAATCAATATGGGTAATATTTGTAATTAGTAAGGATTATCCACACCTCCACCCCCATCATTGAGTGTTGGGCTATTGTCCAGCGCGCTGAGTGGATCTGTCGGATTTGACAACAGATTTGATTTAAATCCTGGAAAGTTAATCACCCACAGGAGAGGGGACTTTTCTGGAATTGAACCACTGAATGGACAGCAATGATTGTATCTTAAATCAAGATCATTCACAGTTTACTCTTGTAAGGCTAATCTAGTAAAAAGTAAAAGATTTGGTAAAAAAAAAAATAAAAAATAAAAATAAATCCAAAGGCACGTCACTGTGGTTTAACAGTTTATGTTCTTGTAAAT